TCTAGCATGCAAGACAGTGTTGACCACTAATATGCCTAAAACTCAAATATCAATTTGCAAATCACAGTTCTTTAATGAAAAAAATTGATATGGAATAAAAAGCTATAAATGCAGCAATCAAAAACACCAAAAAATATAAATAAAACTAATTGAAATTGTTAGCTCCATGTCAGCTAATCCACTTGCCCTAACCTACAGACTAAATATCTGAGGAGATGCAAACCAAGCCACTAAAATTCATTCAAGCCACTAAAATACACTAGTCTTCCAACTGAAAACTCTGGGTACTCTCAGGAGGGGGACAGGGGAGTCCCTGCCCTGCCAAAGCCCCATCAGCTACACCCACACCCCACAGCTGCCCCACACCAATACTAATCTCTGCATAGACACCAAGCCATGAAAATTCCAGGTATACCGGATTTCAGGCTGAGAATTCTGGGGTCTTTTCAGAGTGGGGCAGCAGCCGCCTCCTACCCATCCCCCATACTTCCAGAACCCTAGCAGCCACACCTATTAAGTATTTTGGGAAACCTGCATTAAAGTGCCAGGGAAAGCACAAACACATATTTATTGCTCATCTTGGAAGGACAACAACAATGAGCTTCCAAAACTATCTTTAATTAACATAATCTGGATTAATGAATATGGATACTGTCAATAGTCTCTTGGAAACATGTTTTTCTTTCGTACATTTTGTTCTCTCCAGTAAATTTGCTACCAAGGAAATATTCCTCCCCAAAAAACTCCTTTGCATCAATAAAGAAAGAATGAAGGGGAATGAAGAGGAATTATATAACAGATCCAGGGACCTTTTCTTATCACCCTGAAGCTTTGTTCTACTTGGCTTTCCATGTTTTCACCAAGATTTCTACTTACCTATCAAAATAGAAATTTCTCCCTCCCCAAAGAACCTGGTTCATTCCTCAGCTTCTTTGTGGCAGTTTCTGATGAAGGGTTTAGGAGGAAAAGTATCCCAGAGGGTATCTTCTAGACACTGCATGTATTTTAGGAGAAAGTTGTGAAGATATGCAGCCACCTGCCCAGGAAGAGAAACGGGAGTGATGTTAAACACATGTCCACACACAGAAAATGTCAGGTATCCACTAGGGTTTTCCATAGAAGGAGAACCAGTAGACTATATTCAGGGATCTAGGGGAGGACCTATCATGTGCTTACATATTATGGAGCCCAAGAAGCCCCACAATCAGCATCTGCAAACAGAAAAGTTTGAACTGAGAAAGTTGGTTGTGTGATTCAATCTAAGGTCAAAGACTGAGCAATAGCACAAAGGGGCTTGTGGTCTAAGCCCCCATGGGGGTCCAAAGCTCAAGGAGCAGGAGCACCAATGTTTGAGAATGGGAGATGACATCTCAGTTCAAGCAAAGAGTATGAACTCCTTCTTCTCTTCTGCCTTTCTGCCTCTTTAATACTGGATGGATCTGATGCCACCCACCATCTTTACTCTATCCACTAATTCAAATACTCATCTCTTATCTAGAGACCACCCTCAAAAATATACCCAGGGATCCTGTTACACCAGCGCTGCCCTCCCTTAGCCCAGTCTATCTGGTTTTCCACTCTATGGTCATTACCAGTGACACAGGGAATAGTTCCACCCTACCAGATCACCTGAGGATCTTTTTAGAATCCCAACATATAGGCCACACCTCAGGCCAATTAAATTGGCATTTCTAGGGTGAGAACCATGGATCCACGTTTCCAAAAGATCCTGGGTAATTCCAGCATGAGGCCAAGATGAAGAGCAAAGGTTTCTGAGATCAGAAAACTTACGCCACTGCCATAAAGCTTGCCATCAAGCCACATGTATTTATCACTGCTATGCCCTCCTCATTTCCAACACATGTGAGCTGTGGGATTCTCCTGCCCCTCCCCCCGACCCTTCTCCTTGACACCACCCTCACCCAGTGAGGTACACCAAAGCTGTTGATTTGCATGGGGTTGCTGGTCTCTGCTCGTCTGCCATGCTTGGCAACAGGCCCACCACTCACTATCATTTTACATATCCAGAATGAAGTAAATACGTGCATGATTCTACAGTTAACTTTGCATAGTGGCTAATGCACTATATTGTGTTTTTTTCATGAACATCATTGCATATATTGTCTGATTTTTTTTTTGCAACAGATCTGCTATACTTTCCAGATATCATTGTGGATTTGAGTATCTTCCAGACTGGAAGCTCTGAGAGGTGTGTGTGTGTGTGTGTGTGTGTGTGTGTGTGTGTGTGTGCGCGCGCGCACGCGCGCACATGCGTGCACACCACTTGTTGTAGTACTCAGTGCTCAGAGATCACTTCTGGTGTAGCTCAGGGGATTATACAGGGTGCCAGGAAGCCAACCTGGGTCAGTCTCAAGCACTACTCACTGTACTATCACTTTGGTCCCCAAGAACCACATTTAGCACTATGTGCTTAGTTCTATCCCTAGGATATAACAGAGGTTCCATAAGTGTTGGCTGAGTTCAAATTAAATAGTTGTGTATCTTAATGGCCCAATCGAGTTCAAGAGTTTGGATAACACAGTTGTTCTTGCCATCTTTCTAGTAGCACTGTAGCACTGTCCTCCCATTATTCATCGATTTGATTGATTGGACACCAGTAACGTCTCTATTGCGAGACTTGTTGTTACTGTTTTCGGCATATCAAATATGCCACGGGGAGCTTGCCAGGCTCTGCTGTGCAAGCAAGATATTCTCAGTAGCTTGCCAGGCTCTCCAAGAGGAGCGAAGGAGTTGAACCCAGGTCAGCTGCACTTCAGGCAAACACCCTACCCGCTGTGCTATGGCTCCAGTCCAATATGTATTATTTGTGCCTAAATATAGCACTTCAAGGTACCTGATATCGTTCCCCATTTGGTCTATTCTATTTCTTTAGCATTCTCTAAAACTTTTGGTCTGTCATTGAGTTCTTCATATTCTGAATAGGCTATTTCTTTTACAGCATTAATTTCTACCCGCTTCTTGTCAACTTTCCTTCTAAACTCACTAATTTTATTGTGGCTTTGCCGTAATTCTCTGATTATCTTTTCTGAGCTTTATCACCTTGAGCTGCTCTTCATATCTTTCTGGTATGCATGTGATTGTCTTCCTCACAAACCTGTAACTCTTAAAACTAAAGTGCTCTGATTTGGTGTGTGCTCATATCAGAGGCATTAGGTTTGATTCCCAGCACCACAAAAAAAAAAAGCGCTAAATAAAATTAAAAGCTGCCATTTTGCTTGTTTTTTTTTTAATAATGCTGATATATTGAGTGGCATAGATATCCATGACTGTGGTGACATATAAGACCTTGTCAAGAATTAAAAAACAGCATGCAGCAACACTGTCAAATCTAGAAGTAAATTACACCAGGAGGAACATTACCCAACCCTTGTGAGATAAACTGATACATTTCACCTAATACTTCTAGCTAGCTAATGTTTGCAAAGCCTTTAGGAGCAGACAAGTGTTACATTAAGTGCTAAGTGGTATTAATTATTAATATTGATAATTGCATGAGTTGATACTTATTATAAATGTAAATGTACTTGGTTGTGCGGTATAGTACTTAAAACCATTGCTCAGCTGAACTTTCCAAATGTATTCTAGAATTATATAAAGCCTCTGGTTTCTAAGGAAAGTAGCTTAATGAAATATTTGAATTTTTTCTAACTTCACAAAACTTCAGGAATAATTTGATACTATATCATCAACTCTATTGTACATATAAAGTATTTAGTGACTATTTTACACCTTCTTTAAATCCTGAGACAAAATTATAGATAATCTACCTATATGTAACATATTTTAGCACTTACAATGCTGAGCACTCAGCCAAGAGCAATGAAGTTACCAGGTGACTGCAGTATATGAAGAATCCTTGTAGATGATTGGTTCCCAGAGGTGGACTGTGGCAGGTATGCTATATGAGCATTAGACAACATGGGTACAATAGTCATGGAAATCTGGGGTTTCTGAAATAAATAACAACTTCTCCAAAGTGTTAATCTTCCGTTAACATGCTCGATAGTAACATTCCTAGAAAATTCAGTGTGCTTAACTATTTTTCAAATACCTTGCCTTTATATATAAAACAAAGTTATGTCTTAAGTTCTGATCATGGTGACCAAAATTTTTATCTAGAAGACTGTCTGGTAATATACTTGAGAGTTCTAAGGCTTGCGTACCAAATTTCTGGAGCACTCCCACCGATCCCAATTTTTAAAAACTATAATAAATGTTAAAAATATGTTTCATGGGGCTAGAGAGATAGCACAGCGGGTAGGGCGTTTGCCTTGCACGCAGCCGACCCAGGTTCGATTCCCAGCATCCCATATGGTCCCCTGAGCACCGCCAGGAGTGATTACTGAGTGTAGAGCCAGGAGTGACCCCTGAGCATCGCCGGGTGTGACCCAAAAAGCAAAAAAAAAAATGTTTCATGTCATTTAAAAACATTTTTTAAAACCTGGAGAGTGACACTGCCCTTTTTCAACTAACACATATCTAATCTTACTTCCTTGTATAAAAGGAGGAGATTGTGTTTCCCAATCCACTTCCCGCCAAAGAATCACAGACTAAGTCATAGCACAGCAGGGCAAGAAAACACATATTGTTTGTACAGATGAGCATTCGCCATGTGCCAGGCAATGTCTTAAGATCCTTTTAGACCTATGGTCCTTTGAGCTTCTCATGAACCCTAGACAGAAGGCTCGACTACCACACACACACACACACACACACACACACACACACACACACACACCCCACACAGTACAATTAAATCCGAGGCAAAAGAAGTGAAATAACTACCCAAGATCAAAGAGTAGTAAGTGCTGAGTCCTAGTGCACACCATCCTCTTTTGAATGACCTTGTTTAGGACTGGAGAAAACAAAGTTTTCTTTATTATTAGCACACAGAGTAGTAACAGCTCCATTCACTGACCATGTCATCTTTGGTTCCCATTTGATCTTATTTCCTTATTTGTTTTTTTTTTCTCTTGCAGGCATACATGTACGAAAGGAGGCTGCTTTGGGTCCCCCTGGACTATTCCTAAGAAGGAGATCACTGCTCACTAGATGAGACGTAGGGGCATCTATTAAGGCTTTCATATCCCTCTGCAACAGTTCACCATCACAGTAACCACAGACCACTCAGGATGAGTGGCTTCCTCGCCTCCCTGGACCCCCGGAGGGTGCAGTGGGGGGCTGCCTGGTATGCCATGCACTCTAGAATCCTGCGCACCAAACCAGTGGAGTCCATGCTGGAGGGAACTGGGACCACCACGGCACATGGCACCAAACTCGCCCAGGTGCTCACCACTGTGGATCTCATCTCACTTGGTGTTGGCAGCTGTGTGGGCACAGGGATGTACGTGGTGTCTGGCCTGGTGGCCAAGGAAATGGCAGGACCAGGTGTCATTGTGTCCTTCATCATTGCAGCTGTGGCCTCCATATTATCAGGTAAGAGTCTTGGGACAGGGAAAAGGTTGTGACAAGACTTGCCGGCCAGTTGCTGTTCACTCCACTCTTCTAAACGGTTCTTGCAGTCAGATGATGAAGTTGTTGTGACAGATTATCTATGCTCTCTTCTCATTTTGATCAACAGAGACGTCTGAGCAGCTTTGGCTCAATAACTTTCCTTTTCTTTGTATTTTTTAGAACAATTCATTATTCTGAAACTCAGACATCTTCCCACTTCTCGTTCCTTGTCATATTCTAGTGACTTTTGAAAATTAAAACTGCCCATTTCAGCGGAAGACAAAGTCACTCCCTTTCTGGGAAGGTGGATGCTGCTGACACATAAATAATAAATAATGGCTAACTGAATAGCAAAATAGTAAGTATCTAGTAGTAAACCAAGCTAGGGAATTGGGAGAATCACAAAACACTAACTGGTACAGCACTTGGAAAGATTGATAATGACAAAGATTGACAGTGGTAGCTCAGCTCACGCCAACTCCTCTTGAAAATCTTAAAACTCAAGTGTGTGCTTGTTCAAATGAGGTATCAGAACTTATATGTTGACAATGTATTAAATGTCTCTCATATTTCCTTTTCTTCTTCCGCCACTTGAGTTGTGAACTTAATTTTCTTCTCAGAACTTGGAGAATAGGTAAATAACAACATTAAAAAGAAGGAAAATGAAATATTTCTACCACTTGATTATATTGCAAAAGCATGAGACTTTGCTGGGTTTTGGAACAACTCCTATACTGGTAATGAATGTCATGGTCTCAAATGTTTCAGGAGTTAGTTATAAAATATAAGTTCAATACATGAAAGCATACTATGACAAGAAAAGCTTCAAACTAATATCATATATCTAGATTCAATATTCTTCAATCCCCAAAGATACTGTGTACAATATAACCAAAAAGTGCAATGATCTATATCAGAAATCTTTTACTTTTTAGAAGTATTTTTATTTTGATAAAAATATCTCCAGGATTTATCTCCTGTCATGGTTTACATTCCTGTTGATTTTTACCAATTCCTCTTTTTCCTAAAGTCATCCTCTAATATTTATGAAAAGACTGACAAATGAGATTTCTGCATGATTTTTCCATATCGATGAAAATAAATTATCCTCATGCATGAATTCTGCAGATATTTAAAATTCCATCAATCTGATTAAAATCATTTTCCAACTCGTTTTGCAAAGAAATTTGGGAAAGGTGCCAAACTGCTGCCAACAAATTTTATGGGTCTAAAAGGGTTACCAGGTAGAATGGAGTAGCAAGAACAAAAGGCTGACCATATCTCACAAAGAGAAGAGAGCAAATGACTAACAGTTCATTTAATGCTCTGCCCAGTCTCTTCTAGAATCTATCCTAATATAACCTGGTCTTCTAAATCAAGCTGTTTCCTGTGAATGAATCACTCGATTCTTATCCTTCATGGTCCTACCTTACATTTAAAAACCAGAGCAAGGCCTGTCACTTTTGTGAATCTGCACCTCCCACATCACTAGTGATCACTGGTTAACCCATACTTATATGCTGCTCAGCTGCAGGGCTCAAGATTTTCCAACCAATGTTGTGCCAACCCCACTTATGCCAAGACCCTAATTGTACAATCTTTATTCAATAATGAAAACTTGGCATTCAATAATGTCATATTTTTTTAATTTTTATCTTGTATTTATCTCAGCTATTCTTGGGTGTTAATCTCCTATTTTGTTACTTTATATTCATATTTAAATGGACTGTGATGGGAATGCTTGTACCAGGGGTATCAGCCAATTCAAATAGGCAGAAACACCATGAGGTACAGTTGTAGACTTACAAATTTTTGTGCTTGGGTTTCAGTTATACAATGATTGAGTACCCATCCCTCCACCAGTTCCCATTCTTCACCACCAATGATCCAAGTAGCCCTCCCACCGCCCCAGTCCCCCCATTCCACCCACCCCCTTTTGTGGCAGGGCATTCCCTTTTGTTCTCTCTCTCCTTTTGGGTGCTATGGTTTGCAAAAAAGGCGTTGAGTGTTAATCATATTCGGTCTATGGTCTACTTTTAGCATGCATCTCCCATCCTGGAGAATCCTTCCAACACCCTTTATTTGGTGCTCCCTTCTCTATCTGAGCTGCCTTTTCCCCTAGCATATGTGGCTGGCCTCCAAGCAATGGAGTAAAACTCCTGGTACTTATCTCAGCTATTCTTGGGTATTAGTCTCCTATTTTGTTACTTTATATTCATATTTAAGTGGACTGTGATGGGAATGCTTGTACCGGGGTATCAGCCAATTCAAAAAAGCAGAAAAAACTCAGAAAGATGACTTAAATACAAAAATAAGAAATAAAACAAATCTGGGGGTCATAAAGACAATATAATGTGTAAGGTTTGATCCCTAGCATCTCATATGGTTTCCCAAGCACAACCAGGAGCGTTTCCTGAGCCAAGAGCCAGAAATAACCCTTGAGCATCACCATGTCTGGCTCAAAAAAAAACAAAACCAAAAGAAGAAGAAGAAAAATTTGTGTTTCAAATCAAAGTTTGTTTTCAGAGTAGTTGTCAAACATTTACCAGGTACACTGCAGCCCTTGGTAGAATAGAGTATCGTCACCCTGCTACCAGAAAAAATCAAGACATATCCTCACACCTGGTCAGATCCATATTGTCTTTCTACTCTATCTCCCCACTGAGAGAGTCCTCAGCCACATCCAGCCCCGATGTTATTTGTGCTGAAGTTAATATATAATGGAACAAATTTCTTCAACAAGTCCTTTCACTCTGTGACCCTTTGTCACTAGGTTTTAACAAAGTTCCCCTTCACCATTTTCTCCCCACTTTCAGATTATCGTCCCCATATTACTCCACCTTTGGTCTGTGTCACAGTCATAATACTTCTTTCTGTCATCAGAAGTTTTGATCTATGGTCTTTTGTCCCTATGACCTTAACTGAAGTCTAGTTTAAGCTGGCACCACTCCCAGCAGGCCAACCTTGGGATGCTTAAATTCTCACACTCTTCACAAGTCCTCTCTCCCTAGGCCACATTCTAGTTCTTCCATTATCACATAAAGTTCCATCATTGCCTCACTACAAACTTTGGAAAGTAATGACCCCATTTTTTTTTGCTTTTTGGGTCACACCCGGTGTTGCTCAGGGGTTACTCCTGGCTCATGCACTCAGGATCACTCCTAGCAGTGTTCGGGGGACCATATGGGATGCTGGGAATTGAACCTGGTTGGCCATGTTGGCTGTGTGCAAGGCAAACGCCCTACCCGCTGTGCTATCGCTCCAGCCCCAAACCCCATTTTTTTATTTATTTATTTTTATTAGTGAGACACCATGAGGTACAGTTGTAGACTTACAAATTGTTGTGCTTGGGTTTCAATTATACAATGATCAAATACCCATCCCTCCACCAGTGCCCATTTCCCACCACCACAGATCCCAGTATCCCTCCCATCCCCCATCCCACCCTGCCTCTGTGGCAGGGCATTCTCTTTTGTTCTCTCTCTCAGAACGACCCCATTTTTGATCCCATCTGCCACTACAAGGTATGATCTCTGGTGCTGAAACTACGTTTATACAAGCACCATAACACAAGTCAATGACTTCTGGCAACCATAACAACAGCTAATAGGAAGAGAGAAAGTGCTTTTTATTAAGAGCCAGAACCTCACCTCTGCTATATCCATAAGCTTCAAGAAGAGAAAAAAAATATGTTAAGACCAACACTACTTGACCAGAAACTTTGAGGGTTTTTCAGGGGGCTTTCAAGTATTTTCAGCTACATGGTCCAGAAGAGTGGGCCCAGCCATGTGGTGCTACTCAGACCCTATGATCATAGGAGCTGCAGAACTGAAGCAGCACCAAGGGGCCAGGTACTACTAGAAATCTAACTAGGACTGTCGTGCATGCACGGTACTTTGCCTCAGTCCTTTGAGAAATCTACCGGGACACCAATCTGCAGATTTTTTAGAGATTTTCTAATCCTTACACATCATCCCCTCTCCATGCAAACCATCCTACGAGATTAAATAAGTATATTATAGAGGAAAAAACACTTTCTCCACACTTTGACAAAACCCAAACTTAGAGAAATGTCCCAACTCCCCTCCAAGTCCTGTTCCAGCATTTAAATTACCCAAAACCCTCTCAGAGGTAAAGAGAAATTTAGCAGAGGAAGTAGCTTGTGCCATAATCATAATCCTTTGCCCAAAAAAAAATCTTACCTACTCCTTAACAGCTCAGCAGACTAAAACCAGACCCACGTGTATACCAAGCCTAAAAAATCATTTTTTAAAATGCAAAATTAAACACATCAGGTGAGGAACATTGACTTTCTTTCCAGCTTTCATTTACAACGTTATTAAGAGATTGTGGCATTCACGGATGGTTTATAGAAGATCTCTAATTCAATTGGTTTGGGAGAGAACACAAAGCAAATAGCCACCATGTCAGTGGCCTCTGGCGTTCCAAGCCCAAAAAACTTCTCTTAATGAATTGGGGGATGATTACAAGTATGACTTTTTTGTCTAAATTTTCTTCCACTTCTCTTGAATATTATTTTTATTTAACCTCCAACAGAATGTTAGTCTGAAATACCCCATAAATTCAATAATGTTTCAGGCCTATATCACGTATAGATTAAATGGCATTATGCTTACCTAACATATCTTCTACATAATACCATTAATTGTCATCATAAGAAATAATTGTCCTACACATAATAAGATATCGTATGTATATATGTATTGAGTATCCACCACGTGTCAATATTGAGTAGCTATGTCAATAGTTGTAATAATAGTAACTGTAGCAACAATGGTTCTCACATATTAAGTACTTGTTGGGCATCAAAAGAGTTGTAAGGACTGTCTTACTTAGTCCTCTAACAACTCTGTGTGATGAATATATTTATTATCCTCATATCACAGATGAGAAAACAGAGGTGTCTGAAAAAATTGATGTGGCTTAATTAATGCTCAAACTCAAGAGATGACAAAACAAGG